CACAGGCTGGAGTGCAGCCACGCAATTTGGGTTCACTGCAACCTTTACCTCTCAGGTTCAAGCAATTCTCCTCCCTCAGCCTCCTGAGTAGCTGGGACTACAGGCGTGTGCCACCATTCCCGGCTAATTTTTTGTATTTTAGTAGAGACGGGGTTTCACCATGTTGGCCAGGATGGTGTCGATCTCCTGATCTCATGATCCGCCCACCTCTGCCTCCCAAAGTGCTGGGATAACAGGCGTGAGCCACAAAGCCCAGCTGAGTAATTTACGTTTTTAAAGTGTATTCGTGCTTTAGTGGTTTTTGGTATATTGGGAAAGTTGTGCAGAGTATCTAATCCCAGAACATTTCACCTCTCCAACAAAGCAGTCACTCCACCCTTACCCATCCCACCTCCTTCCCCAATCCTTGATAACCAGCACTCTACTTACTATCTCTGGATTTGCTTATTCTGGATATTTCATATAAACAGAATCATACAACATGTGGCCTTTTGTGTCTGGCTCCTTGCACTTAACATAATGTGTTTGAGGTTCATCCATGTTGCCACGTAAATCTGCATTTCATTCTTTTTTTATAATTAAATATTACAATTACATTCTCTAGAAATATCACACTGTATTTATCCATTCATCACTTGTTAGATGTTTGGGTTGTTTTCACATTATGAAAAATGTTACTGTGAACATTTGTGCACAAGTTTTGTGTGCGCACGTGTTTTCATTAATCTTAGAACTATACATAAAAGTGGAACTTTTGGATTGCGTGGCAACCTTATGTTTAACCTTTTGAGGAACTGCCAACCTATTTTCCACAGCTTCTGCATCATTGTACATTTCCACAAGCAATGTATGAGTTGTAGTTTTTTCACGTCCTCACAAACACTTTATAATGGCCATTTAAAAAATACAGCCATTATAGTGAATGCAAACTAATAGGTCATGGTCATTTGTTTCTTTGATTCTTAAGCTAGTAGTTCATTTACTTAAAACTGAGAGTACTCTAAGAAATCATATTTCAGGATTGATATAATATTCATTTATTGCTACTATTGTTATTTTACTGCCTACAACCACGTTTCTACTCCAATTTTCTTTGGGGAGCGTTGTTTTGTACCTTTTTTTTTTTTGAGATAGATCTTACTCTGTTGCCCAGGCTGGAGTGTGGGGTAGGATTTCTGCTCACTACAACATCCACCTCCCTGGTTCAAGCCATCGTCCCACCTCAGCCTTCTGAGGAGCTAAGAATACAGGCGCATGCCGCCACACCCGGCTAATTTTTGCATTTTGAGTAGAGACAGGTTTTCACCATGTTGGCCAGGCTGGTCTCGAACTCCACACCTCAAATGATCTGCCTACCTCAACCTCCCAAAGTACTGGCATTACAGACATAAGCTACCGCCCCCCAGTCTACTCCAATTTTCTTAGTCTCATTTTCTTTTGTCTATAATGTTAGAACTATTCAAAATCAAGCTGGGTGGAGTGGTACACACCTGTAGTTCCAGCTACTTGGGAGGTTGATGTGGGAGGATCCTCTTGGCCCAGGAGTTTGAGGTCAGCCTAGGCAGCATAGCAAGATCCCATCTCTCTCTTTCTTATTTTTTATTTTTATTTTTAGTAGAGTCAGGGTTTCACCATATTGGCAAGGCTGGTCTCAAACTCGTGAACTCGTGGGATTACAGGCATGAGCCACCGTGCCCAGCCAAGACCCCATCTCTGAAAGAAAGAAAAAAAAAAAAAGGGAGAGAGAGAGAGCACTCTCTACAAATAAGGTCAGGAGATTAACATGGGAGTATCACCTACAAGGACATGATTTCAACCAACTCTATTCCTATATTCATTAATAACTTAATTCCAGGTTTGCTTGCATTAAATCATGAGGGCCTCAGATTGAAAATTTTCCAGGCCGGGTGCGGTGGCTCACGCCTGTAATCCCAGCACTTTGGGAGGCCGAGGTGGGTGGATCACGAGGTCAAGAGATCGAGACCATCCTGGTCAACATGGTGAAACCCCGTC